TCATTCATACAGTTTCTTTTCTTCATGCAATTTATGTTTCCCCCTGAAAACTATTTTTTCAGCTGAGATGCTAATGGGATTTTTTGTCTGTTTTAGCATTGTTTTTTTTTGTTTGTTTGATTGATTGGTTTTAAGATACATATTCAGGTATTGAGTACTTTAGAGGCAGACTTTGAGCAATTCTAAATGTCAGTATTTATAAGTCAATTTAAATTTTATTAAGTCAAGTCAACAGGAATAAGGACTGCTTAGCTTGTGGTACTTGCTAAATACAGTAAAAATATGTACACATAATCTTCATCTGTTTTATGAATGCATTGACTCGTTGAGAATTTTGTGGGTTAATACCATTAGAAGTAAATGTCATTAAATAAATACAGATGGTCACAATATTGGATAAGCTGTAGACAGAGTTACAACTCAAGAGGCAGAGCAGACCTTCAGGCCAGCTGTTGTATTACCAGTGTAAGTAAGTGAATCTCAATTAGTGGGTCATGCGAGCAGGAGCAAACTGGGCAAGTGGAGAGAGAGTGGTAGAGGCCATTTGCAGCTCAGTACTAAACCCAGAAGGGGTTGTGCAAATAGCTTTGTCCCTGGTGGAGATATATTTTGAATTCTAGTTCAGCTCAAACTCAGCTGAGCTGTAATCCAGGAGCATCTACCTACCATGGAAACAAGGTACTGTCAGTCTAGTGATTTGGTAGCATTTTACTGCTTTGGGAAGTCCCAGTTTTCAAGCCAACATATTTTCAAGGAGCTCTAAGTTGGAAAAGAAACTCGTGTGGATAATGCCTACTTTCTTATCTGCATTTCCTGAGTTCTAAAAATAACATTTTGTATGTGGTTATCCTCAAAGATTTTGATATCTGGAGTGTCTTGGCCATGTACCGTATTTAATGCTGCTTTGTGAAATGGATGACATTAAGTTAAAAGAATAGTGTCTTTTGAAAATGCTTTGGATACTGCTTAGGTGATGACTGAGCCTTGGCAGGGGCTGCCCGATCAAGAAATCTGCTGAAGTGCCTTATTTAAGAGCAGTGTAATGGAGTGAGGAATTAGGATTTAATGCAAGGGAAATGTGCAGTGTGGGTGGGTCATACAGATGGATTTTGGTAAAAAGATGAAAAAGGTTTCTGCAGTCACAAATACTAAAATTGCATTGGTGGTACTTGACTGTTAGCAGGCAGGAGAGATGTTAAATCTGATCTAAATCAGTGCTAATTTTTTTTTCCCCAGATGAAAATGACTACTTATGAAAGGTTAGAGGATTTATGGGGGTGTCAAAACATATGGCAGACGGGCTGGATTAGGACTCATGAGTATAGTAATCCAAATCCTTTCTGCCAAGCATTACAGAGGATCTCTTCCTGCTGCTGGGCTACTAAATGTACACAGTCAGAGGAGAACAGGCTGTCAGGAGGCTTAGAGGAAGAGTTGCTAGTGAAAGTGCTTGTCTGAGCAGTGTTCGTTTTGAAAGCACTTTCTTTGAAGGCAAAAGTCTACTGGGGAACTGTTACATTATTTAGCTTTAGTAAATTGCTGTAACCATTTTTCTTTTTCCTTTGGTTTGTTATACAAAGCCTGGAAGAAAGTAAACCCAAAATGTGAACTAAACTTTTCTAAGTATCTCTGATTATATTACTACAGAGGGATAAAAGCTGTGCAAAAGTCATGAATGTTGAGAGAGGGGAAAAAAGGGAAAAAAACCTCATCCTAGTTCAAAAGTTTAAGCGTTAGGCCCAGTTTTAATCTTGGTTTTAGACTGAGTTCAGAGGATCTCCTCTGAAATCTGAAAATTCACAATGGCTTGACAGTGTTACATAGGTTATCAGTAACTGCAGTTAACGGGTAGTTAATTTTAAGATGATGTGAAGCTACTGGCTTTTGAGGAGATCTATGTCTAAAATTGTTTCTGGGGAAGGATGCAAAACATTTGTGTCTGAGGCAACAAGAGGATATTTGCACTCCATCCCTTTAGTCAGTTATTTAAGCTAAAGAATGCACCGGAGCTCTTTTGTTAGTTAACTAGTGTTAACTAGTTTACAGAATGATAAATCCATATGCTGGTGTAGAAAGCCACCTACTTAAATATCTTTGATCTCCATGAGTGGATGCTTAGATACGTCATTTGACACTGGTGTAAAATAAAATAAAAAAACCCAACAAAACCAACAAACCAACAAAACCATAACAAAAAAAAAAATCATAAAAATGTTTTGTTAAAGCATGAAATGCAACACTACATATTGATAAGTTGTGCTCTTTGCAGAGCCAAAGAAGTGTAAGGATCTGGACCTTACTGATCTTAAATTTAAGCTTGAAAGGGAGGCTGAAAATAGTTGCACCAGCAATGAGGATGGATTAGCGCTGAAATTGTTTGCATTTCTAGGGCTGGGAGCAAAAGGCAGAGTTTTCATTGTTATTGTTTTATGATGTATGAAGAAGATCTGAAAGCTTTTAGCAGGTTTCGCTATTATCCTTGAGGAATGGCATATTTGCTCTAGTTTGGTCTTGTCAAAGAACTTTCTACTGTGAACTTTCTCAGCATTTAATTGAAAAGTTAAACCTTTAAGAAAGAGAATTTTTTCTATTGTTATGTATTAACAAAATAACAAAGCAATCAAAACAATCTGTGAAAGCTCACTTCTTATCTGTTGATAATCATATTTTTCTTGTTAGTATTTGGGATGTCATAACCTTTCAAGTGGTGTATAGCCTTCCAGCAAAGACCTGCTCTGAATTTCCAATTAAAACAAACAAACAAACCAAACAACCCATCTTCCACTTCCCAGCCTCTTTCTGTATAAACAGTCTCCTCTTAAGAGACTGTAGAAGGGTGTATAAAAAGAGCAAAAAAGGTCACATTTAACATTTGTCTGTTCTTCATGTGAATGTTTGAAGGAAACAAGTTTGAAAATAATTGAGTCAGAGGGATGGGCAGAAAGATTTCCACATAGCGAAATCTGCTGAGAATGAAAGGACAAGTTGAACCAGGAACAGAGGTTTTACTGTGAACTTGTGCATGTAATTCCATAAACTCTGAATAATCATTTTGTTTCAAATATAAACTTAATTGGGATTTTAAGTGATAACCCAATTGCACAGTATCAGATCATTAAAAGCATTTAAACTGTCCTGGCAGGTAGGGATGAAAAGTATCTGAGATGAGTTGTCAAGTATTATCCAGCTTACAAATAAAAATAAGTTGTTACAGTAGGCTTTCCAGGAAATACAATCATAAATTGTAGATGTGGGTTTTGACTGATTTATTACCAGAAAATAGTTAATTTTTCAGGATATAGAAATATATGAAAGCTAATAAATCAAACCGGAATTAATATGGTAAATGAAATATGTGGACTTAGGCATTTTTAGATGGTTCTGATACAAGTACATAAATATTCTTGTTATAAATTTCTTTGTTCCCTACTAATGCCTCCATTGAATTCCTCTGTATTGCATCAAAATTGAATTAATTAGTGTAACTGACATTAAGTATTTTAAACTTCACAAAGAGAAACTGTACAGAAATTTCTTCATGAGATAAATAGATAAATTATGATTAGAGCACATCTTGTTACTGGAACATCAGTAACCTGATGGCAGGAAACTATTAGTAATTGACCTAAAATGGAGAAGCACAAGCATCTCTATTTCATATCCAGGGAGAATGCCCCCACAAAGGAGAAAATAAACTGAAAGAAATAAGATAATTCCAGTGTGAAGTCCTGCTTCTGAATGATTGAGGAAACATGAATAACCATCCCATGAATGTGTAGTGTGATATGGAAGAAACAGACTTGATAAAAGGAAAAACGCTTGACAAATGGTTCTTTGTAATAATGGGGAGAGATTATCAAAGTGCTTATGTTGTATCTGGCACTATTTGGCAAATAGTTTTGTTACAAAAGGCATCTAAGAAATTAAAATACAGAAATGCACATATTTTAGCATTTACAGATTCTTCTGCAAAGAGAGAGTAATTCAAAACAGCTTTCTTTTAGGGTGCCCATGTAATTGAGAGCAGAACTTAGGCTCATCAGTCATAGAAATAGGTGAGAAAATCTTGCTTCCTGATTCTCATTTAGGCAGAAGTGGTATATTTCTGAAAGCATTTGAATAAGTAAGTGCTTTCGGATGCAGCAGGGGGGAACCCAACAAGCAGTTCCAGATGGCAAATGTTGAGTTATTCCAGAAATAAGGGAAGGTTCTTCAAGTTGCTAGCATGATGACATGGGGAGGTGGAGGCAGCTGCATGCTTCACAGAATGTTATTTAGATGGGTATGAAGTTGTGAAAGGTTTTAGAGCACTTATTTGGTATGGTGTGCTTGAAGAAAAAAAAACACACATTGTTTAGCTGTGAGATGCAAAATTAAGTGGTCCTTTCAATAGGAGGCAGATCTGAATGCTCCAAACGATCACTGTATTTAGTAAGTAGGAGCTGGAAGACCTAAGCATGGAATCTGAGTCTGTTTTCCTCTCTCACAGTCTTGGAGAGTTTACTTAGTTTTCAGGTAGAATATGTTAGGATGCACTTCCTATAGAGAAAATGGAACTGGAACTTTAAATGCAGTTAAGGCAAACTGGTATTTAGATCACAGTCAGGAATAAAGAAAGGATTTGGGAGGTTTTGCTGCAGTCATTGTAATATTCCATAAATTCCTCTAAAATAAACATTTTTCAATGGGTTACACACCTAAACCTTAAGCAAGGACTGACAGCCCTAAGATCTCCAAAGGCTTGACTGATACAGGCTTGATAGAGCTTAAATAAAAGGGCTTGTTCTTTTGGTCTGTGGTCAACAGCATACCCCAATATTTTGTTACCCAAATGTCAAGCGACTGAGATCTGTAGTGCTTCTTTCCATTAAAAATAAAAATAAATAAATAAAAAAGTTGAATCCTACATTTCTCAGTTCCTTTTGTTCCTAATTTACAGACTTGAACACCTGCTGTTGATTTATGTTGATGATTATATTTGTTTTGTTTTTGTTCCCCAGAGAAAGAATTTGACCCTCTTCAGCATCGGTTTGTTGACCTCCTGGGGCACTGCACTGCTGGGTGTCCGCTTATACTGGATGGGCAACAAGCCCCCAAGTTTTTCCAATTCTGACAATCCAGCAGCTGACTCAGACAGTTTTCTCACACGTACACTGACCTTCTTTTACCTGCCAACAAAGAACCTCTGGCTGTTGCTATGCCCAGATACCCTCAGCTTTGACTGGTCTATGGATGCTGTGCCTCTTCTGAAAGCAGTCAGCGACTGGAGGAATCTACACACTGTGGCCTTCTATGCTGGACTCCTCCTCCTTGCCTACTTTAGCTTGAAGGGTTCCAGCAATGAGAGAGAATGCAATGGGAAAACTGTAATGAACGGCAAGCAGAATGCTAATGGGCATAGCTGCCACTCAGACGTGGAGTACAAGACACTGGAGGTGAAGTCAAGCTTTGCATCAAAAGAAGAGAATGGTATAAAAAAGCTTGAAATGCAGAAACTGCCACTTCCTTCAACTGAGAACATTGTCATTCTGTCTCTGTCTTTGTTAATAGTGCCCTTTGTTCCTGCCACAAACCTATTTTTCTATGTTGGCTTTGTAATAGCAGAGCGTGTGCTGTATGTTCCTAGTATGGGCTTCTGCCTGCTGGTTACAGTAGGTGTCAGGGCCCTTTATGTCAAAGCCCAAAAGCGTTTTCTGAAGAACTTGGTTTTTTGTTCCACTGCTGCATTAATTGTTTTCTATGGACTCAAGACTGTTGTCAGGAATGGGGACTGGCAGAATGAGGAGATGCTGTATAGGTCAGGGATAAAAGTAAACCCTGCTAAAGGTAAATTCTGCTTTTTATGGTCAATGCTTTATATTTTCCTGTCTTTGCCTTTGAATTGTCTGAATTTATCAGCTGTATCTAAAGAGGGTATGCTAGGAAATGTCCTTTTAAGTTGCAGTAGTACATACATTAGTAAAAAATGAAGAAAAGCAAGAGTATGCTTTGATAGGGTGTGACAGGTTTGGCGTTAACATGGAGAAAATGAGACCTGAAGGTAAGAGGATACTTTCTTTTTCATTATCTTAGTTCTGTATTTTAGAATTAAAGAAGCATTATTAGTATTAAAGATCCTACCCACCCTCCTAATTTTCCATCTGGAATCTGGTACCTATCATGCTGATGAAGTTTTTTTTGTATGTTCACCGAATGTTCTGTTCTCTATGACTAGGAAATATATAAAATAGTAAAGGACACCATCAGGGAGCTGGTGTTTTTTTTTTATTTATTTATTATTTTTTATTTCATATGATGCAAATAACATCAATACTACATAATAAAAATGAGGAAATGAGGTCATATTATTCACCCTAGGAAATTACTGTATTGCTTCCTGCATGCAGGTACTGTAAAGAGTTACTGTGAAATACTTAGGCCTTCCTGTTAATGTATAAATGTCAGCTATTTGTAACGTTTCCCAGCTACTTCTCTTAAAGTTTGTATCGATACCATAATGAAATGTGACTACAGCTAGTGTAAACACTTCCAAACACACAGTAAACCCTCTAGTTCAGGGATCAGTAACAATGTTTAGCTGTGGTTTCAGCATATATGGCAGATCCAGCTGGGATCTTGAACTACATGCTGCCTGTACTGCTCTTGGCACACAAAACAGGTTTATATGAGAATGGTTAAAATACCACCTGTGAGTGCTGTGTAGGCATTGACTAAGCTTTCATTCACAATTCATAAGAAGTGAGAAAGGATCACTTGATTGCTTTGTCTGTGAAAGAAAAATCTGACAGCCTCTGATCCTGTTGCACTTCAGTTTTTCAAGTTCTGTGCTCAGAAGCCCATTGTATGGTGCAAAGTCATCCACTGACAGAGGTGTGTTTCTTGGTTAGAGAGTTATATCATGCCATAGTCTAAAAGTTGTGGTAGTATGAGGCAAATGCAGGTGTTACCTAAAGCTGATAGTGAAAAACTAGATTTGACAGATAAGATGCCTTGTAAATCAGCATTGTAGTGGCTTGTCAATTGTCAGTCTGCTTTTGTAACTTTTGTTCATATACGTTGTCTCCCTAGGTAAAATTATTAAACTTGTTTCTGCAGTGACTTTTTGTTAACTGTGAACAAGCACATCCCATTTCTTTTTTTTTTTTTTTTTTCCTCAAAATTAGTGCAGGAGGGCAAGAAGTGAAGTAAGCGAACAGCAAGACAGCACACCAGAGAGGTGATATGATGCTGTGAGACTTACCAGTTTAGTAACATTGTAAAACTTGCATTAAAACTTGGCTTTCCTTAGAAAGAAAAGAGTATGCGCACATTTGATTAAATAGTTAACGTATGTTCCATTTTTGGTGGGGATCCCAAGATATCGCAGACTGTATTGATAGTTGTCTGCTTGCTTTAAGCCAGTTTTTGTGATAAAAAAAATAAAATTCTAGGTTTTGTCCAATAGTAGGTTTGGCTGTGATGTTGTCTGGAAATTAAACTGCTGGGTACTATGCTCCCCAGAGACAAGGCGAGCTATTTTCATCATACACATCTCAGTATGCGCAGACTTATGTATATATGATTGCCCGGTTTCTCGCCATATAAGCTGACATTAAGTTTCTTGTAAGATATGCAAAAGCAAAGACAGCATGTCAGTGTGGTGATATAGACATGACTGAGCTGTCTGTAAATCTCCTTAAAATATCCTGTTGAGGTTCTGCTGAATATTTACTAGCCCACACACGTTGTAACAAGGCTGGGTACCAGAAACTCACAGCTAAAGTGACCTGTCACCCAACTCTATTCATTATTGTGAATACTTCCAAGATTATCCCTGGCTTTGACTATGCTAATTTTATTTTCTATTTCTTAGACGATCAGGCAAGCCTGACTGGTCTGGACTGGCTGCCAATCCACTGAAGCATTAGGAGATGAACAATTCAAACTACTCTTCAGTAATTAAATGAGGTTGATGTAGGAAAAACAATTTATTTTTGTTTGCCTCTTTTTTTTTTTTTTTAGTTTTATGAATGCTAGTGATAAATAGGCTATTCAAACAGTGAGACAATGGACTGCTCAGACAGCAGAGAGAAAGTGTTTTCGTTCCTTTTAGTCTGTTAAGAAGAAGCTGCCACTCCTCATTTCTGTTTTCCTCAACTTGCAGCCATTTCTCCTCATGAGTATTTTCTTACTTCTGATCATTTTTGAGTGGTGGGATCATTTTCCCTAACACTTTTCCTTTCTTCTCCTGCAAAGAGCTTCTGAACAAGAGCTTCTTTAGTCCTCGGCTAAAAAGCAAAAAGGAAATCTCTTCAAAAATTCCACAGTGGGAACCAATAAAGAAGTGGGTATCTGTGAGGACCAGCTTTGCTAAAGCAAGGAGCTGAGTGTTTTGTTCCAGATCCATCTGTATTCTGGCCTAGCAGGATGAAAGCCACTCTGTGGCTGGATGCTGTGTGATAACATTGAGCTGATGTGCTGTACTAATAAGGTCATTTGAGAGGCAAGATATTAGCACAGGTGCATTTATGAACTAATGTGGCTGAACTGCTTTGGAAATGGAGTTGTCTCACATGGTGATGGTTTATAATCAGGTCCTCTGTGCTGTAGTAGGTGTATGAATATAATCTTTTCTGCTGCTATGGGACTTTCAGGCAGATTTGTTCAGAAGCTTCATCTTCAGTCCTCAGTGAAGAGATGGGCAATAAGTACCTTGCCAGCTCTTTCTTCTGGCTCCCTCAAGGGCACCTTGTAGGCAGAGAAATAGTGTTTTGCCTCAAGTGAGAAAGCCCTAACCCCACAGGCAACCACAGCCTTTCTGCAATTTACATTTCTCCAGGCTGCTCTTGTCAATCACTGAAATGTGGAAAAAATACTCAAAAGCATAATGCATGGCTCACCTTTTTCTAAACACCAAAATACACCGCAGGAGAGTCAAGTGAGAAAGAAGGTGGTGATGCTACCTCCGAGCCGCTGTGCACATGCCAGCTGTCATATCTGGCTTTCTGTGTGGCGGGAAGGTAATGGCCCTTGCCTGGTGGAGTCATAATGAGGACTAGTATGCCTTGACTCCATCTCTTTCTGGGCTTGTTCTGGTCTTTTGGTTATGACTAGTATTTCAAATATCTTTAAAGTGATCTGAGCATTGCCTTGTTACAGTCTGTCAGCACTTGAAGGAAAAATAGGCAAGATAGATTAATGTAGTTTATGGATCCTGAAGTGGCTGTGTGCATGTTTTGACACTAGGGAGGGAAAGGCACAAGTATTTCCCTGTGCTGTCTTCAACTTAATGAGCAGCCCAACTGATCTAAACCAGCTCCCATTATTTGAGTGTTCTTCTATAGTGAAGAAAGCCTCCCAAAATGTAAAAACAAAGAAGTTAAAAATTGGTGGTAGCTGTCATGTCTTTTTCACTTAGACTGAGAGTCATTCTGTGGTGATGATTATCTCATGTTTATTATAAAATTACAATGACACACAAAATAATTGTTCTTATTATACCTTTTTATCTCTAATTTTCTCTGTATTACCAAAAGCAGGCTTCAAAAAGCCTTAATCTTTTTCCTCCAGGCCATTTTGTACCTTGCAGTCAACATCTGAACATCAAAGATTCATTATGATGTATTATGATATATATTATGTTGTACTGTTAGAGACTCTAATTAAAGAAGTAGAATATAACAGAGCAAGGCATAGATTGTTGGAGTGCTGCAGAGCCATTGGTTGCTTGGTCATAATTTTAGTCTCCTGGTGGTTGCCGTGACATTTGTAATTAAGCTTTGAAGATCCTTCCTGGAAATAGTTGACCTGCTACACTAAGTGATTGCTTATTTTTAACCGTGCATTCAAATCCTGCTGAGTTTATATATGTTTCTTTTGCAATGAATTGTACAGAAAGAAACAGATACTTGGCTGGTTCCAAAAGCAGTATTGCTACATTATTGTGGCACTACACCTAGTCTGGTAAGCCCTGTCTCGCATGTGGCACTGACTTAAGTTGGCCTTACAGCTTTTGGCTTCAAAATCAGTTATGCATGTTGCTCAGGTGTTTGTCCTTGTTCCATCACAAATTAACATTAATGAGATGTCATATGTTCATATCTTGGACAGGTCAGTAGGACTGGAATGTGTGCTTCAGATCTTTCCTGAAGTTAAAAATCCTATTCTTAATGTCTTGTTTCATATCTCAATTACCATGTTGTTCTCAGTGGGCAGCAATAAGACCAAGACATGGTGTTGACAGAGAATATTTAAGTTGTTCCATATGAATATTGAAAGTTGCTTTCCTTCTATCTTTCCAACCTTGCTCCTATTCCAGTTTCCTGTGGGTGTGAATAATTCAATTTTGCTTAATATTTTTAGAAGGTATTCCAACACTGAAATACTCTTCTGGACCACAATGTTGCTTTTCCCTGTTCACGTCGGGGTTTTTTTAGCTTTGCAACAGGGTTGTAAGATCTTACTGCATCATTCTGCTATGTTTGTGCCTGTAGAAGGTTTAAAGAACAGTCTCCGGGGGCTGGGGGGGTTGGCATCTTTGTCATAGCATTTAGAGTTGATCAGTTTTATTCCCTAGAACTTCATGGACAATTACCTTTCTTTTTCTTTTCTTTATTTCTTTTCAAAAAATATTTTTAAAACACCAAATTTAATTTTTTTACTCCTGTTGAATACTTTGTAGTGTTGATTTCCTCTTTTACCGTTACTCTGATGCAGTAAGCAAATGTATTTGCTATATAAATTGCTTTAATTATAAGCGTAGGGCAGGGGGAAACATCACGTGAGTTAATATTGTGTCATTTGCATCATTTGTTATGTTAAAAAAGCACCCAGGTTTGTCCTAACCC